AATTGTATCACTTTTCAGTTCACATGTCAATGGTCAAACATTGTATTGTATTGTATTATTGTATTATAGATGACTTGTGCAGGCGACTGTGTCCACATTTCAGTCAAAAATGTGTTCACCGTTACAGTGGGATAAAAAAATGAAATGAAAATAATATAGTGTACAACTTAAATAGGTGTAAGTTTGTAAGTTTAAAAATAGTTCATTACGGCAACATTTGTACATAGTTGATGCGTAAAAGAAAATCTAACTTTTATGGTGTTTGTATGTATATTCATAATAGTGGCTGTGTCGAATTTATCTTTCTATCACGGCTCTACTATAAGATAGAAATCTTGTAATTATGGGGTTAAACGACGACTAACTTGTAAATAATGCCCTAGAAAGTTTATCGTATCAATTTGGCGTGATCTCCGATGCGTGCAACATGCAACGGAACGCCATCATATGGGTTTCTGTGATCGTTGTTTGACATTAGTTGATGGTGCATGAATTCACCTGGACTACAAACAAAATCGGATATATTGCCAGTATGGGAAAACGTTTGATTAACAGAGCCCCGTTCATGAGCACGATCTTGATTGTCAGTAAAGAAAAATTTTGTACATGACAAAGAAGGAGAGAAGAACAATTGCGAAACGTACCTTCAGGCAGCTAGTGAAATAATTTCGGGCCGCTTCAGAGCGACCAACGCGATGGAACAAATCGATCAGATTTCGGACTTCCTGTGTGCAGAGTACGAAATCAGAAGTTCCCGCCTGCAACTGGTTGAACGCTTGCATCAGCTGAGGGGCAAGGAGACTTTCCAAACTATTCTTATGCGTTTCAATCAATGCCTGACGTTCTTTGTAATCAGGCAGATGTGAAAGAGCAGTCTAGGTAGATAGATAGATAGAGAGATAGATAGTGCCGTTACTCGATAGGGTCTGGGGCGTGTCGTGTGTGAAGACAAAGAAAGTTCTATTTTGCCTGTTCGCCGAGCTTGGCAACTGGTTTGCAGACGTTTCATCACCAGCCGAGGTGACATCATCAGTGCTTGTGAAGTGGCCACTTCACTCGGCTGGTGATGAAACGTTTGCAAACAAATTGTCAAGCTCGGTGAATTCAGTTCACCCGAGCTACGATAACCGATTTTCAGTACTTTGTTAACAAAGAAAGTTGAAAAATCAAACAGACAGCAAACCACAAAAAGAATGGTGAGAAGACATGTGTGCAGAAAACCTATTCGGTGACTGTTGAATAGCTAACCTGTCCAAAAACCTCTGTTCTATTGGGATTATCCCGAAAGCGTTAATATTTCGATTACATGAGCCATAAAAGGCTGTACAGGAATCAGTTCCGGTCACGAGAATCTATTATCAACTGGTGAAAATGCTGGTTGGGACATATGCTGCGCATGTCACCAGATAGGTTGCCACGGTGAGCGATGTTTGCCAAAGCTGGTAGCGGTTGGAAAAAGACCAAGGGAGGTCAAGCTAAGACCCGGAATGAGGGTATGAAAACCCTAACCAGGAGACTGGCTCACATAGGTCCCGTTAGGCTCCCTGGCTGGGGACCCCGAGATCGTGGTCACCGATGGTTAGAAACACTGAGCGATATGGCTGGATGTCGCAAACAATGGCGCTCATGCATCTATTCATTATTCTTGTAACTTCAGTCTATGTAAATGCGCTATCTTCCGCTTGAATCTGCTGTGAAAATTCTAATCATCATTTTGCTGTGTTATCCAAAAGACGGCAACCAAAACCGGCGCACGGAAATGCATGGTTAATGGTTGTAAGAACTGAACTGAACTGGTGAAAGCTGATGAACACTTGCCTAAAGCCTAGGTCAGTCAGTCAAAAACGATTGTACCAGGAAAAGTTAACCCCCTCCATCTAATTACTGGAACCGCTAATTCATTAAGAACGAGAAGAGAGAAAACCACTCGCACCGTTCACATTATTCCTACGGATCCGATCATTTAGTCTAGCAGAACAGGTCACATTTGAGTTTCGTGTCCAAGGATAGTAGAGCGGAACAGGACCAATGATGCCCTGAAAGAAGGAGATATGCGAGGATAGTTTCTGGACGTATAGTTGATGTCAAAGTTCGATCAAAGCGAGAAAGCAGATGAAGCAAGTAATCCTTTAAACAAAAACAGATATCACTGCCTCAGTGCTACGCTAATGGGTGTGATCAAATCGTCAGATAATATAAGGGAATCAGAAGAAACAACTTACCAAACAACTTTCCATGCCCTCAATATTTGCACAAAGCTGTAATGAAGTAAGTGAGAACCAGAATAAGACTTGAAAATGATGTGAGGTTCTGGGTGTAGTGTGCGAATGGCGCAAAATACACACACACACACACGTGGATATGCGATCAACTCACTTGATTCAGATCTTTCGCTTCCAGCACTTCGTCCATTTCGCGCGCCAATTCAGACCAGCGGGCAGTTTCGCGTAGAGCACTGGCAGCTTGTTGGGCGTTTCGACGAGCTAGATCCAACTCGATCAGCTGACTCATTGTCGTTTGACTGTCCACCTGCACCTGATAGATAAAGAGTCAAACGGAAACACAAAATTGTAAAGAAGACGCTTAAGTTGGAGCTGGGGCGATGAACTGCCTGTGCGGCATCAACCTCAATGGTTGGACGTTTAACAACACGTCAATTAGACTTCAAAATTAGCGGGGCAAAAGGCATGCGTGAAAGGATTTATTGCAGTCTTACAATTTACTTACCTTTACTTTACTTACAATTTGCCAGTTTCGCTCCTGTGGCTCACAAAAGAGGTCTGGCGAAGACTCTATTCCATCGCGCCAGGAATATATGCTCTCCTGATACTGTCCAAGAAGAAGAGGCCTTTCTGCGAAGGACGCTACTGGATAATGGCTATCCAGATAAATTTATTGATGTGCATAGCAGACGAAAGACATCGGTTGATCTCGCCTGCGAAGTACCGAAGAAGAGCGTCTTCCTCAGACTCGCCTTTAAAGGTGATCATATAATGAACGACGTACGTCAAAAGCTCAAGGCGGCACTGTGTCGAACGTTTCCTGCCGCACAACTTCGATTGATACCGTATACCCAAGGACTTCGTTTAGACAATCGAAAACAGAACCAGCCGAACAATTCTGCTTCACATATCGTCTACCAGTTCACCTGCAGTTGCGGTGACACTTACATCGGCAGAACGAATCGGCCCCTGGCACAACGGATGTCTGAACACATTCCCAAATGGTTGGTACAATCGATGACGTAACAAAGTCTAAGAGGTCAAACCGATAAGAGAAATCCAGGGTCATCAATCGCAAAACATCTGATGGCAGCTGGACACATCGTTGATCCACAAATGTCGTTCAAGCCATTTTTACGTAACTTAAACCCCAGGATTTTGGCGTTTAGCGAGGCGATGCTAATTAAGTTACGTAACCCAGTATTATGTGCACAAAAGTTTCTTACTCAATCAGTCAGACTGCCATGGACTTGATTTCCCACCCCACCCTCTCCCCCGCTTCCCTGACCATTGTCTGTTTTACCACTGTGGTTATCAAAACTTGCTTGTATAAATACCAGATTGTTTTACGTTGTAGCGAATGAAGAGATCAAAAGAAATGTTAACATCTCGCAGTATTTGTCTTCTATCGGTTCTAATTAATTGCAGTCGTCCACACAACCCAGGAGTGAGGATTATGGTAAAACACATAGTTCCCTCAAGACAAGCAAAATCAAAAGTTTGTTTTCCAATGCATCAGGATTAAAAAGATTTCAAAATTACAATTATTAAAAAACTGAAAGTCGCGCATTAAACCGGGATATGGAGGATCCTCGAGACCCGATACCAATAGACGAAAAATAGACAGGGATAGAGATACAGTGAAGCAGAGCATCATATCGAAGACAAGAAAAATCGAAGTTTCATTAGCACAAATCATTGATTCATTGCTTTGGGAGAAGTCTAGATAAATTCAAGAAACAGAAGTATGAGGAATATTAGGACGAATACAGATAAGTAGTCTACCAAGAGGTAAACCGAAAGACGGCAAAAAACCAACGCACCGAATTGCAGGGCTAATAGTTGTGTAAACTAAACTCACCTGACCCAGGTGTTCTTTGGTATCCTGAAGCTCCAAGCCAAGAGTCACAGCATCAATCCGTAAGGATTCCACCTCACGTAGGACACTGTCAAAGAACACAAAGGATCAAGAGAAGGTAGTTCTGATAGACAATATCGGCTATGGAAATAACTTGATCGATAAGCAACCTAACCAAAGTTCACCGAAACGGAACAATACAGTATTAGAAAACGACAGAATGTGGATGTAAATAAAAGCCAAAAAACTACAAAGGGGATTCGTATAGCAGACAGTTAAGAGATAGGGATCAAATGCACATAAACCAGGCGATAGTACGTTTGAATCCCACCCCACGATTGTTGTCCAAGTTGGCTAGTTCTGTATGTCCCTTGAGGGCCTTCAGTTATGAAAAGTGCATGCACAATGTTTTATTCAATAAAGAAAAGCAAAAAAATAAGACACTGATTTTCAATACAAGAACCATTGGACAGAATTTCTCAGGAGGCACACGACCGGTTCTGTGTCTGATGCCCCTCGTCAAATGAGTATCAACTAAAACTTCGTCAGTGTATTTATATACTTGTATCTCACATGTGTACTTGTCCCACAAATTTCCAATCTGCACCACTGAAGGTATTTTGCTCGGGCTAATTTTTCTAAAGTAGACTCAACAACGAAACACGAAGGTACGATCTTCCAGGTTTGTGTTAGTATGTGATTATCGGAGCATGAGATTTCCTTCAAGGGTTCAGAGAAAATGAAATCGTGTGCATTGTCGTGAAACGATGAATGATCGTGCCATCACAGTATTTGCATTAAGCATCTTAAGCGAATGGATAATTGTCTGTGCTGTGAGTATTAACCGGTTCCATAAGTAAACCATGAAAAATAGTGCAATAACGAAAAGTGATGGGTTTTCATTAAAAAAATGATCGAGATTAATGGACAAGAGAATGGTGTGTGAGACTCTCGTAGACCAAGATAGCGCTCACCGAGGTATGGAATGAACTGCCTCTTGAATGGCACGGTCCACTGTTTGCATTGCATCCTATGGAACAAGAGGAAACCGTACATTTTGTTAGCATTCTGGAACTCGATTCATAGAAAATAAAGTTGGTGGGGGAGTCGAGCGATATATATATATATATATATATATATATCGGATTATCAGACCAATAAACGTCACAGCGGCCAGTTGCACATGTCATTTTAAAGGAAAACGACATACGCCAGCATTCCGTCATATAAAAGAAGGCATAAAAAAATATGAGAAAAAGTTAAAGAAGAAGTGGCTCCATGCATTTATGAAAACTATAGTGCGATTTTTTACCGCTGTCTCCGTTCGATGCGAAGGACGCATAATAATCTTACATTCAAAACAAGGCCATTATAGTCAAGCAAAAAACGAATGGTCAACATGGGCCTTCTGAGCACCAATCGTACAAAAGGGAACGAACTGGCCGTGATTTGACACACCGCATTGTTTCCTCAAGCCACTTGGTCCTATCACATCGATCATCATACTCTATCAGCGTTTAAATAACAGGCGTGTACACACACACACACATACACACACATGCATTCCCTCAGCCTCACGAAGGGCGATTTTGCTCTTAAAGCTTACAATGCTAACATGGTTTTTTAACTGACTTGGAATGGCCTTTTGAAGAGATTGAAACATTGTCGTCAAACCAACGTAAATATACTGTTACCATAATCGTCACACTTACGTTTTCAAAAATATCTGACCAACCCATTTTAGAATACCCTCAGAAATATTTGTTTGGTTGAAAAGGGTGTATAAAAACTTAGCCGACACATCATGAATACGAATTAGATGCTGTTCCAAAAATAAGCGCAGTATAATACTTCAGAATGAGACGCAGCGTGTGCACAATTATAAAACGAATACATCAGTTCATACCAAAAATAACTCACTTTCATTTGTACATGGAGTTCAAGTGCTAACTCTGAGGCCTTGCGCTGAAAGTCAGGGGAAAAAGAAAAACGAGTGTGTTGACGGATTTTGTTAGTCGTAACTAGTTGCTTCCATAAACCTGGAAACCAAAGTTATGACGGGAGCGCGGAAACCGGAGTACCTTACCTCACGAATCCGATGAATCATACCACACAATTGAACAGTAGTAAAAGAGTTTCATTGTGGTTTCACGAAATGACCAATATAACATGTCAAAACTTACGTCCACATTTTGCTCACGAACAGCTGGATCAAGCGCATTGTTAATCCACTGTTTCTGGTCGAACTTAGGCTCAAAAAAACAAGAGACGTCCTGCAATCAGAAGTGACAGGTAAACGATGACGTGGGGGAAAAGATTACGATAATTCCCCAAATAGATCAACAAAAAAGCGAGCATAACCAAAACAACAAGCAGTGGTCATACAAAAATGAATAGTTCTTCAACACATTCACGCCACGTGCCCTACTTTTTATTGACCCGACTTCTGGTCTGAATGCAAACCAGCTATTGGTAGACACTTCAACTAAAACAAGCAGTGACCTTTCATTCATAATCGGATAGGAAGTGTATTACAAGTAAAATTATCGAAATACAGCCCACAGGTTATAGGGCATCACACAGAAGAATAAGTATGTGATAGATTCCATGGCCATTTCGATTAATCAACATACATTTCAATTATGACATGGAAGCTTCACCAGTCCAAGAAATCTAATCTAGCTTTTTCTCTTTCTCTCTCTGCTTCCGGATTCCAAAAGTACTCTTGATTAACCATAAACTAAGTTGAATTTTTCAATTCGCTGACTAGCTGAATACATGATTGTGTTGTGATCGTGCACTGCCAAGAACAGTCATTCGATTTTTTTAGGCACCAATTCAATTCAAAGTTCATGCAACTGACCGGCATGGTAATTTGAGGATCGACAAAAGCATCCGTTACTTTACCAAAAGACGAAGCGATTAACTGGACCGAATATCAAATAGAGACGAATGGCAGAAACGTTCGGACAGATTATGGTCAGGACAGGACTGAAAAGCTTTGCGCATTCACACGGTTACCAGCGCAGAACGAAATGGACCAGAGCAAAATGTACCGCAATAAACACGTGGTCATCCAGAGCAAGTAGTAGGTGGATGGAAAATCAAATCCAAACATTCTAACTGTGCGTACACACCTCTTCCATAGAGTAGTTTTCGCGTTGAGCATAAACGACACTGAGATCCGCCCTCTGCTGTGTACGTCAGTATCTAAAGCCAAACAAGCACAGTTGTTCACGTATCAGCTCGACACCGTCTAGCGACTAGAGTATGACTTACTCTACAATATCAGAACATGTGTACGGTATGGTAAACGATTGGTAGGCAGGCATAACACGCGTCAGAGTCGGAAAAGTTCATTGATTATGATGACTAATTCAACGGACAATATCTCCTCGTACGCATCTTATACAACATGGTCTAACGAAAACTTGGAGTTGTGAGGTGGCTTTTGCGCCCCAAGTTTATAACTCAGTCGTTAATGGGGCCAAGCATAAATAAACATTCAAATTCAACGAAACATTACATTGATAGAGGCGAACACCACTCGAACTTCACGAACGGATAATCGTTCGTTGCCCTGCATGTGATGTCCAGACGTGTAGTCAATTTTTGAACGTAAAAGTTGGTGGATAACCCAAAGCACCTAGAAGGATGCCTCTACCACTGGACTAATCTCAACGAAAGGCGAAGAGCAAGAAGAGTATAGATCATTCTGCAAATGCGGATTGAATAGATCCTTGGGCCCAATTTTTTTCAGACGAAGATGCTGGTTTTAAAACGATTGAGCATGTTTTTAGGTAAGATAAGTCAGTGCATAACTAAACAGCCCCATATATAATAACCTTGTTAATCATCAATGGTGAAATTATTAAGTGTGACTATAAACTGCCTCAGTATTGGTAAACTCCGATAGTTTATGCCAGCATTTTGAGAAGCCTAATCACGAATTAGGCTTTGTCGGAACATTAAAAGCGGATTCACAGACACACGGGTTATGGTTTTTTTTGCGGTTCTATGTGAGGTTCTTACATTGGGGGTTGGAGTCCCGGCAGAGAGATAAAAAACAATACAGATTGCTAAGAGGGAACAAACAGTTGTTGTTCAGTGCACTCTGTCATCAAATCATTCTGTGATGTGTAGAGGTTAATGGCCCGTTACTAATTTCAAACGGAGCGCATCAGACAGCAAGTGCAACAGATTATGGGAGCTGGAATCACTCAGGACTGATATAGAACGAGCCGTATTATTCCATAGGTCTTTTATTCAATAAATTGCACAATCTGTTTTGTAACCCGGTGCCTATTCATATAAAACAAACTATTTATGATACATGTATGATCAAATCAGTGAAATGCAGCAGAGCGCTCGTGTTCACATAGTATCCGAGTGAGTGGAAATGAACTCCTGTGCCGACAATGCTATACCACCAGGTCAATTGGTCATAGAAAATAGTTGGTGAACAGCTGGTTGACCATGGACGGAATCCAACTGCAACGAACATTCCAGACCGCGCACATCCTTAACTGCACGTCGTACTTTGAAAGTGCCGGTCAAATGATCACCTGAAACAACAAGAGAGAGAACGAATTTTGCGGGGTTACGCCATCTGAATGAGAAAACGGATGCCAACATAGTACGGTTGCGACGGAAACGCGAACGAAACAAGACACAATAGGGTGTAACGCCAACATCATTCGTTTGAAAAAGACGTTTTCTGACGTGGTGCAGTGTGCTTTTCGCTAGCTTTTTACTATTTGTGTAATCCTTCGCGATAGGGAGCTATAGGGAACATTTGGAACATCACCCAAATGGGTGGTCGGGAAGAACCAACGGAGGTCAATACGGTCCATAACCTAACCACGTCGAAAGCGATGTTCTGTGATCACTTCGAGAGAAGGGAGATTGTCCGCACTCTAGCTATTGTGAAACGTTCTAGGTGTTCATGTGATGAGGGTGTGCGCGTGGATAATTATCTAGGAGACTAACTGGTATATTTGGTCTGGAACTAGATACGAATATATACCGGCATTAGAAAATTAGAGGCTTGGAAGGAACTATCACATAAGGCTCAATTAAGCATAATGTAAGCAAAGCGAGGTTTGAACCTCCCGGACGGCTGCTCACTAATGACAACAATTTAGCAAGCCAGAGCGTCGCTGCTTACAAATAAGGTTGTAACGAACAACTACAGAGCTGCCCATTACCACAGTAAGTGCAGATGAGAGTGGTCGAAAACTGCAATCTGTTTAACGGCCTGCCAAAACACAAATGTATATACCCACCTGATTTAACCGTAATCGGTTTATCCAGAAAGAAGACTGTTTGCTTCCAGTGTGTGGAGCGTGCCATTGGGGAAGTGGAAAATGCAACCTGTAAAGGAGAGACAAAATTGCCAATAGGACTCGGTAATTATGCGTATATTTTTATTTATAACATCAATTTGTTGAACTCCAACTGAAACAATGTTCCAGCAAGATAGAAGTGCGCACTTTGACAAAAAATACTTAAAAAAGTTAATATGAATCGATCGACGATCCGACTGTACGTTCATCTTGAATGATTAGACAGCTGCAGCTCCTAAAACCATTCGATGGAAACCATCAACAGGTATGAAAACATCGGCGTTACGAACAATATGCGCCAACGAGATATAGAAAATAAAAGTTTTTGAGATGTAGTCTTTTCCATGTTAAAGTCCAAACAGTTGGAGATCAGGTTGTATTTGACAACCGCCGATTGTTGTATATGGCTTTGGTGTGTCGAAGAAGTGTCCGGAGCAATTAGTCTGAA